CCGGTGACTGGAGGAGTAAGACAGAAGATATTGGAGGAGGCAGACAAGTCCAAGTTCTCTATACATCCAGGGGTTACGAAAATGTATAGAGACCTGAGACTGAGCTATTGGTGGCCCTACATGAAGCGAGAGATCGCTTGGTTCGTGGAGCGGTGCTTGACCTGCAGGAAGGTCAAGGCCGAGCATCAGCGGCCTCATGGAAAGGTTGAGCCGCTACCCATTCCCATGTGGAAGTGGGAAGAGATCACTATGGACTTCATCACGAAGTTACCGAGGACAGCGATGGGTGTGGACGCCATATGGGTGATTGTGGACAGGTTGACAAAGATTTCCCACTTTATTCCGATCTCTGAGAGTTTACCCGCTGAGAAGTTGGCGGATATTTATGTGCGAGAGGTGGTGGCTAGACACGAGGTGCCAGTGTCGGTAGTCTCTGACAGAGATGTTCGATTTACATCTAGGTTCTGGAAGAAGTTCCATGAGGAACTGGGCACTCAGTTTCATTTTAGTACGGCGTACCACCCCCAGACAGATGGCCAGAGTGAGAGGAGGATCCAAACACTCGAAGATATGCTTCGGGCATGCGTGTTGGATTTTGGTGGTAGGTGGGATACATACCTCCCGTTGGCAGAGTTCTCATACAATAACAGTTACCATGCCAGTATCGACCGACCTCCGTTTGAGATGTTGTATGGTCGAAGGTGTAGGATCCCGGTTTGTTGGGGCAAGGTTGGACATTGAGTCTTGGGGAGCACTGAGGTAGTGCTCAAGACTATTGGGCTGATTCAGTAGGTGTGCGACTGACTGCGAGTCGCGCAGAGCCGTCAGAAAAGCTATGCTGACCGGCGGCGATCGGATCTTGAGTTCCAGGTGGGGGACTTCGTGTTACTAAAGGTGTCTCCATGGAAGGGAGTCATCAGGTTTCAGAAGAGAGGCAATTTGGGGCCCCGATATATTGGACCCTTCAGGATTACGGCCCGGGTGGGCAAGGTGGCCTATTGTTTGGAGCTGCCGGATGAGCTTAGCCAGATTCACAACACCTTCCATGTGTCACAACTTCGGAAGTGTGGCACCGACGAGACCACGGTCGTTTCTTTGGACGACATTCAGGTGGACGAGAGCCTAAACTACATTGAGAGGCTCGTTGCGATTTTGGATAGGAAGACCAAGGTTCTTCGGAACAAGGAAGTGAAGCTAGTAAAGGTGCAATGGTAGCACCGAAGGGGCTCCGAATGGACATGGGATCTTGAGAACGAGATGCGGGAGCATTACCCCAATTGCGGGAGAGTTGTAACACTCCAATTCAGGTATTACTCTTTAGACCCTTGAAAAAGGAAAAGATGGCATAAAAGTCCCTTAGTACGCGGGGCGTACTCCAGGAGTACGCTTAGCATACTAAGGATGCATGATCGCGGAAGGTGGCCGCGTACGCAGGGCGTATGCGACAGAGGGCCAAAACCCTAATTCTCGGAATTGACACCTATTTAAACACCCTTAAGCCTCTCAGACCAAACCTTAGTCAACCTCCATAGTCTTATTTCGCCCTTCTACACCAGATATACCTTGTAAGAGTGTTTTTGAGCGTAAGGAGTGTATTTGTGGCCATTTTAGTGTCCATTCAAGAAGAAGGAGTTGCTAAGCAAGCTTGGAGTGGCATTGAGCTTCAAGGATCTACATCTAGTTCACCTTAAAGAGCTTCTGGAGGTATAAATCTTTGATCTTGACATCTTATTCATTAGATCTGGCTAGGGTTTTCTATTTGGTCCCTTTAGTTGGTTTTGGACCTTCTCTTGAGAGTTGAGCTACTCCAGAGGCTGAAATGGTTAGATCTGAACTTTATGAGCATGCTAGATGCATACAGGTGCTAGCTTGAAGAGTATCTAGACTCCATGCATGAGTTTGAATCTTTATATGAAGTCCTAATGTGAAGAATGAAGTTTTTAAGTCCCATATAGCATGCAAAGGCATAAAGTTGCAAACTTTATGCCCTAGGACGTCTTAATGAGCTCAGATCTGGTATAGGACGTTAGAACATCGAGTATTAAGCACTTAATGGAAGAAAGTGCTTAATATGTTTGTAAGTTGGGCATAAGTTAGAGTACGCCACGCGTACAGCTCACGGACTCAGTACGTTGCACGTACCAGGGTGGTACGCAAGGTGTACGCACCTTAGATAGGCTCAGACTTGTTTTGGGCTTGTAAGCTTTTGGGCCTTAATTAGTCATTGGGCTTGGTCACGTTTTGGAGTTAGTGGGCCAGCTTATCTGTTATGGGCCATAGATACTATGCTTGGGCTTTATTGGGCCATGAGATCCATTAATGATTTTGGACATGGACTTTAGGCCCATTAGCCAAGGAAGACTTTTTGGGCCATTATGAAAGAACTTGGGGTTTGGGGTCCTTCAGTTGGATTGTGTTCAGCCCTAACCTTGGGTAATGTTATTATTGTTCAACACGGGTGGTTACGAACTGTTAGGAGAGTAGGTTTCAGATTCAGCAGACAAAGATGAGTCTCCTCACCATACCAATGGGTCTAAGGCACCAAGGCCGGCCCATTTTGTGATATGTGGTACACTAGCTGTAGTAGAAATATGTGGTATGATAGTTAGCTATATGCTAAGTGGTATGCTAGTGATTATATGATACTTGCAGGGAAGACCATGGGGGAGACCATGACACTTGGATAAGACCATGTGGGGGAGCCCATGACTTGATAGTTAAAGACCATGGGGGAGCCCATGGCAGTCGAATGAAAGACTATATGGGGGAGCCCATGGCATGTCGGTTAAAGACCATGGGGGGAGCCCATGACACTTTGGTATAAGACCATGTGAGGGGGAGCCCATGGCACCCTTATATGTTTGTATGCATGGCTTATGTGATATATGTAGCTTTTATAGCTAATATGATATGTGTTATGTGGAATGTGTGTGGGGTATGCTCTGAGGAACTCACTAAGCATTAGCTTACAGTTTGTGGATTTGTTTCAGGTACATCTGAGCCCAAGGGCAAGGGAAAGGTTTGATGACGCGACGTGTACTCTCTCTCAGGCGTTTTTATGGGACACTTTGATGATTTGAAATAAAATTGTATTTGATATGAATTTTGAAAACAATTGTATTTGGGATTTCATGGTTTGTGGAAAGTATTTTGGTTAATCAAAAATGAAAATTTTCTTTTGAAAATTGGGTTTGTACATGGATTAAACTCTATTATTGTGGAATGTCATGTTGGCATTCAATGAATATGGAGTTCAAAGACCATTGAACTCTTCAAAGGGAAAAAGGAAACCTTTTAACTATTAAATATATATTTCATTCAAATCTATTGAGTTCAATTCATTGTAGGAAAATTAATGTAGAGTTGTATAGTAAGTAAAATGATGATATGTCAATCCATTAAATTTTAAGGAGAATTTCGTATATGCCCTTAGTAAATGTAAATATCATATTTGCCCGACCTAAACTATAAATATCATATTTGCTATTCCTAAACGTTTAAAATATCAGATTTGCCCAAATATATAATTTTTAATGGTTTTTAACATTTAATAATTCTTTTTTTTATATTCTGAAACCATTAAAACTAAAATAAAAACTAGATGGACGATATTATCCTTGCCTTCTAAAATGACAGGAACTCATAATAGCGGGTATCTCTCGAAGTCTTCCTCATGATCATCATCAATGTTAACCTTTCCATCCTCCTTCTTGCCATGTCGCCATTTTCCATCTTCCAATCGAGTATAAACTGCAGATAATTGTAATTTCGTCGTCCTTCTTCTTGCCCTTTCTCAACTTCGGTTTTGCTCTAATGTTGTTATCATATCAAGATTATACGACGAGTAACAAAAGACCAAATTGGCCTTATGCTTTACCTGTTATGATCAATTCTTAACACAATCATCTTCTTAACCTCTTGCGTCTTTTTGTTTTGTCTTTTCACCATATTTCTTGTGCAATTAGCTAAAAGTATCAATTTGATGGTTTTATTTGTGAACTAATATGCAATACGCATACAACATAGCTTACACCAACATTGTGAGATGTAATTTTTGCTTGCTATTCTTTGGTTCAAATGTCAAAGATTGTTGTTATTTATGATTTATGGATGCGAGATTAGAACTAATGCTAAGTTGATAAGTTATTTGTTTCTTACCTTTATGATGAATCTAAGTTGGAGGCATAGATAAAGTTATGTCGAGTTTTATGAACACTAACTGTTTGAAAAAATACCTCAAAGAGCAACACAAATATCAATAAATTCAATTTACATTACAATTTTTTTTTCTATTTTGATTAGAGATTGTTAGTTCAAAGAATAATTATGAGTTGAATGTGTTTTTAGGAGATGAAAATAATGAAAACATTGGAATTTGAAGGAGCCAACAAGATCGATGTTGGTGTAATCCTATTCGTATAGATATAACCTGTTGATTGTAATCCCATTTGTATTGCACATTATAGCACATTATATCATTAGTTGTAATGAAACATTCAAAAATGCCAACAAATGACCTACTGTTTGTATCCGATTGCACATATTCTGATCATGCATTCTCAAAAAAAATTAAGCTATTCATTAGTTGTAATAACGAATTGAATGTTCATTTCACAAAGAAAGCCAAAAAAATTCCCTGATAATCATAGCCGATTGCAACAAAGAAGATGCAACAAGGCAAAAAAAAAAAAAAAAAAGAGGCCGACACATGTTATGATGATCGCTTAGACTCAATCTGCCATCGCAGCAGGTAAATGGGTTCATGCGATTTAGAAGGAAAGGATATTATTGTCAATTTAGTTATTTTTTTCAATTTTAATGATTTTAAATTGTAAAAAAGGGTTAAATAATAGTAAAAACTATTAAAAAAATAGATTTGAGCAAATCCGATATTTTAAAACATTAAAAAGGGCAAATATGATATTTAAAGTTTAGGTCGGACAAATACAATAGGAAATTCTCCCAAGTTTAATAGAGTGAGGATACCCTAAATAGCACGGAGTATTTACCATATAAACCCTTCCTTGTAGTGGACGTAGACCTAGCTTTATCTTCAACTCTACCTTCACGATCTTCCTCGGCGATCTGCATGGTAATATCTAACCCTAATCCACTCCTATTGTTTTATTTTTAATCATTCTCTCATCGTTCACTCTCCAAAGCATATATCGTTCGTTTTCCTCATATAATTCCTTGATCCCTCCTTGTTTTTCCCCTACAAGCTAGCGTCAAGCTTCGACCCACAATCCCACATCATATAACTCAATTATTTAACCAAGTAGCGTCAGTTTTGTATTTTTACCATAAGTTAGAAAGCTTCTTGATTTTGCATAGGATGTTGGATTAATTGTTGAGCTTGATGAAAGTTTTGGGGCTGGTTTTTAAAGTATTAACTAGTGTTTAGTTTTTTCATCAAGCCCTGATTTGAGGTTTAAGCTTGGTTTATGTGGGTCTGAATTCGGATTCATTGTTCTGTAGAAAAATAAAGAAAGAATAATTGATACGGATGATGTTGTTGGTGAGAAGTTTAAGGTGGGAAGGAAGATTGGGAAGGGAGCTTTCTGTGAAGTTTATGCAGGTGTTAATCTTCAAAGTGGGGAAGAAGTAGCTATTAAGCTGGTAATGTTTCAAGCTCTATTTGTGTGATTAATTGATTGTTACAGTTGATCTTCAAACAAGATTTTGTGAGCCCAAACTTATTTCTAGGAACCTGTCACAACGGAGCATCCTCAACTGTATCATGAATCAGAAATATATAAACGTCTCCAAGGAGGAGGTTTCTCTCTCTCTCTCTCTCTCTCTCTCTCTCTCTCTCTCTCTCTCTTTTGGATAGTTTGTGTTGATTATTATACATATTATCTGATATTATGTTTGTTTAAGTTTAATGCAGTGGGAATACCAAGCCTCAAGTGGTTTGGAGTTGAGAGGGGGCACAATATAATGGTTATTGACCTTCTTGGACCAAACCTCCAAGAAATTCTGGACAGATGTGGTGGAAAGTTCAGCTTGAAGACAGTTTTAATGCTTGCAGATCAACTAGTAAGTTGTGAAAGTTAAGCATGGCTTGGCATGAAAGAATTGGTTGTATTGTGTTTCGGTCTCTTCTTGTGGAAATAGACATAAACGCCCTCCTCATCTCCATTATTGAATATAGCCCTAGAAATTTTGTTCAGTCCTGTTTAACAAATGCAGCATCATTTGAATTCTGAATCATATTTATACCGACTTGTGCAGATAGAAGCAGTGGAGTGTATGCATGATAAGGGTGTTGTTCACCGTGATATAAAGCCCGAAAATTTATTAATGGGTGTTGGCAGCAATGTTTGTCAGGTAGTTCTTCAATTATGTAAATATCTTAACATTGTTCCCTTTAGTATGTGGGTTTGTTTTTTGAAGAAAAAAAACCATATATGCCATTGTTGCACGACCTGTTTCATACCACAGTTTGTGCAAAAATTGATGGTAGTTTATATAGCCTCATGTTTTAGCTTGTATCAGAATGCTTGATTTCGAAGTAATTTGGTGCATGATAGTATTAGATGAGATTGTATGTTATATATATTGGAGTAATGGTATCATAAACGTTTCATATGGCAGGTGTACCTTACAGATTTTGGCCTTGCAAATGTTGTTTTAGATCCTGAGACAGATGAACACATAGAATACAGGTATTTTCTAAGTCCTGTTTATTCTTAATGTGTTAAATGGGTAAGATTAAGAAATTGGGTTAAATGCAAGAAATAACAATTTGATTTACTTATTATAACATCTACTGACATGCTTTGGAATACAAGGCTTTTTACATTGCTTTAATAGAGTAAAATTTTCAAAGTTTAGTGCTCTATTAAGAAAAAAAAAATGTAAGTAGATGCTATAGTTAGGTACAGTACATTGTTAAGAAAAAAAAATGGAAATAGAGTGTTATGGAAAGAAATGAAAAGTAGGATGATATAATATAAAAATAAGTGAAAGTAAGTTGCTATTTCTTGTATATATAAGTTGTTAACCTTGGGTCAAACAGTTTAAAACTGTAAAACTTGTCCAAAATGTATTCAAGTGCTCTGAAATCGCTTTCTATTTACTTTTCTTACTTTTCAAAAGGAAAAAAGAACAGTTTTGAACCACACCAAAATTTAGCTTGTTTGACCCATAACCCAATCCCACCCATTTGTACTCATTTTCAATTGTAGGCATTTAAACTTTTTGCAGGGAAGGTGTAAGTTTTGTGGGCACTCACCGCTATGCGAGTCTGTGGACACACTGTGGTGTTGGTGAGTTGTTCATCTTATTAATTAATTTATTTCTTTTATAAGAAGTTTCCTAATGAAAATTTGATGCTTTTTATATGACCTTGCAGAACAAGGTAGACGCAATGATATGGAGTCTCTTGCTTATGTTCTTGTGTGTTTCCTCAAAGGAAGGTGAGAGCAGAGCAGATGAAGTTTGTCAATAGTTTTATTTAATTTTTATCTTGTGTGGTCTAAATGTTTGCATGGCTTCAGCCTTCCATGGCAGGGATTGAGTGCAGGAAGCAACGAAGAGGAGATAAATGGGGATGTAATGAGGAAGAAGTATGCCATTAAACCTGAGGTAATGTTGGCTCTTCTGTTTCAAAAACATATATAAGAAATAAAGAAGTAAGATATTGAACTTTTAATCATTGAAAAAAAGCTGCAAGACAAGTTTTTTAAAGATTTATTTATTGATAAATAACAAACGGGCACAAGCCCTTGTGTATTTTTGTAACAGACTAGAGATTTAGAATGGAATTAGACACATCACATGTAACTGAATGAACGAATGAATGATCTAAAGGTTCAAAGTTATGGAAATCTCGAATGGCTTTTTTAGAAAGAGGAACAAACTATAGCATTTTCCCAAAAATAATATATAAAAGATATTGTTATAATTGGAAGTTCTTTAAATAATCAGAATTAGCCAAACATTCAAACAACCAAAACACAGTACCATTTTGTTACACAGTTGATTATTATTATTATTATTATTATTATTATTGTTATTATTATTATTATTATTATCCCATAATCGCTTTCACTACACCCCATAACTTGGCTAATTGTGTATAGTTATAACTAATAATCTAGCATTTAATTAAACTCTAATTGTGACTGAATTTTGTTCAAACAGGAGCTATGTGAATCATGTCCACCTGAGTTTGCAGTATGGATCACATCTTGTCAACGTACACACTTCGAAGATATGCCATACTATACGTCTATTAAGGCTAGGTGTCGTCGACTCTTTAAGTCTAAAGCTTAAACCTCATAATCCAATTTTATAAACTCTAATCCATAAATGCCTTTCGGCTCTTAATTATTCTCATATAATAATATCTATGATTGCAGGCTATGTCTTCGATTATGAATATGATTGGGCCGATTCTCCAAAAGACGAGTTAGTATAGAACCGCCTATTGTTTTTTTTTAATTATCAATATCGCATTCTAAACTTTTTTTTTAATCTTTTTTTGCAGCATCAAGTTGGGAACATCAGCTGAAAAGCCAGGAATAATCTTGGGTATCGCTTATAAATGAAATACAAATGCTATGAAAATGGTTTTCTTTTTTGTAGTTGACCTATGTTTTATTAATAACGGGTCAATGAGTAATAATATCTTTTTCGTGTAGCTACTCAAGATATCCATGATACAGTAGAAGTGTTTTCTAGAACCAAGATTTCCGATGATGTACCTTCATCAAAAGATGTGGTAAGTTTTTCAACATTCCACAACATTCTAAAAACAGAATTTGTTACAAATATAGCGTTGACCTGATAAATTTATCCACAGCAATCCGATCCTGAAAATCCCTGGCAGATAGCTGGCAGACGGCAAAGGCGAAAGCGCCACTTGTCAAGCAATCGTGGACATAGAGTTGCGAAGTTTGGGAAGTTAAAGAATCATAATTTTGTTTAAGGTTTTTATCATTTTGTAGAATGATTTAGATTGAATCCCGAAGAATTTTCCATGTTCTTGATATTGTGTATGTTATTACCATAGTTGATGTTGTGTATGTTATAACAAGGGATTATGCCACTAATAGACATTTTTTGGGGGAGAATTTCAAATTTTAGTCACAAAAAAATGGATTTCCACATATAGACATGTTTTCCGCGGAGGTGAGCTTCGAGGAGCTCCGCGGAATTCACTGTAGCTCCGCGGAGTGGCAAAATCGTAATTAAATCAAGGGTGTTTATGAAAAAAAAAATCGATGAACAGTTCCGCGGAGCTACAGTGCGTTCCGTGGAGCTACAGTGCACTCCGCGGAGCTACAATGTTTTTTTTTTTTTTTTTTTTTTTTTTTTCAAAACACCCTTCATTTAATTACGATTTTGCCACTCCGCGGAGCTACAGTGAATTCCGCGGAGCCCCTCGGAGTTCACCTCCGCGGAAAGCGTGTCTATATGTGGAAATCCGATTTTTTGTGACTAAATTTTGAATTTCTCCCCCAAAAAATGTCCATTAGTGGCATAATCCCTTATAACAATGGTGATATATAAGAAATTAATAATGACTTGGCTTTTGATCTGTTTAAGGTTTATAAACATTTTATGTGTAACCCAAAGGAATATCAAGAATATCAAAGGTTTTATCCTTAAGATTTGTTAATAGATGTTTTATACGCATTTTGTGAACTTTTAGAAAAGAGTTTAAAAAAGAACATGAGACTTTTTTTCTTTCGTGGCATAACATAATAGCTTGAGAGTATCTTATTAGGTCAGTACTCAAACACTGCATTCTCCATGGTTTCATTATTTTTTCCTTCATGTTCTAATCAAACAAAAAAAGATAAATGTCAACAAATCAGTTGGGACATTGTAAAACCTGAAAATTTTGAAAAACAACAGCAATATACTTATAATATGTACCGTTTGAAAGAACAATACATAAAAAACCATGAAGACTTGAAGTCTTAAACTTGCATTGCAAAAGAATCCACCCTTTCAAAATCACTTGTAATTTATTTTCTAGACAAGAGTCAAACCTACTAATATATGAAAATCTTAAAACATATGAACTTGTTTCTGTAAAGTAAAAAAAAAACAAAAAAACTTCATAGGTACTTTTTCTATAAAAATTATAAGGACTAAATTTGTCAATATTGAAAACATTTGTAGCAAAAGTCTAAAATATAAAACTCTTAGGGACTAAATCTAATAATATTAAAAACTTGTCACAAAAAACCTCAAATGCTAAAGTTCACTATTCATTTATTTAGTATATATAATAATATTTTAAGGTTCCATTATTTTACAAACATCTAATAGTGGTGTCATAATTATTATCTATTAATAAATTATATTATAATAACTTCTTTGGTATAAATTAAGAAAATATAGGGTTAATGTGACCATAGCCGACCAACTATCATATTTTATTTTGAAACATCCCTTATATTATTTTTTTCATCGTAAAGTCATAAACTCCATTTCTTTCATCTTAAAAGATCCTTAGACTACTCCCATTGGGATGATTTGGGTGAGCCGCTTACCATTTTTAAATTAGAAAAAAATGAAAACTAAAAAAAGTTTGGTGACCTAGGCCGGAGTGGCAATCTAAGTTTGCTCGCCTCTTTTGAATATTAACTATCCACTACGTGTTTATCATTTACTAGGTTATAACCCGTGGGAACCACGACTACAAAAATAATTAAATTTTTATAGTAAAAAACTCATAATTATTAATAAATTATTTTAAATATATTATTACTTAAAAATTTATGTTTTTTATTTATGTAAAATTATAATCGTTGATTCAAATAAACATATAAAATTATTTTTCTAGATATGTGAGACAATTTTTATTTGTGAATTAATGAAAAATGATATTGTATACTGAAATATTAAATTAATTATAAAAATAAAACAACCACTTCAAATATGGTTGAAAGTTTGCATAATTGTATCGCTAATAAAATTTACAGAACTACTATTTTCTTTTAAATAAAGAGTCATAAAGTTAATAAAGATAGTATAAACTATTAGGGTTACATATACAAAAAAAAAACTAAAGTTTTAAAAATTAACCGAGAATAAAATTATTTTCAACACTAAAAACATACAAGTAAAAAAAATTTACACTTTTAAACAATAGCACAATCAAAGACTAAGATATTTATCCAATTTCAACACAAATCCAATTTTAACATAAAAAGGATCAAAATAACATTATTCCTTACATTATGTATATTAAAAAAACATAAAGTAAATTGCTAATTTTTTGATTTGCTAAAACCCTAAGTATCGGGCTTTGAACCCTATCAAAGTAACATATCTTAATCACATTTCATGAAAACTAAAAAGAAAGCAAAGGAAAATTGTTATAATATTAATTTAATACTTAAAACCAACATATTTTATTATTTTTACTACATAGGCAATATACTTTTCGCCCATAACAACAAACAAACCAAGGAAATATCATTTTACTTTCAATTCTTGCATTTGAGCCTTACAAACAAACCTAGGAAACGACTCATATTTTCTTGCATTTGACCATTCCAAAATTCCATTGTATTTTCATTGCTTTAAACAATTTACCACCATGCATCTGCTCAAATAAATAACATTGCACTTTCTTTTCTTTGATAATTTTAGCATCCTACTTTACTTTTTGTTAAAATGGACAAATAATGAACAACCCTTGGTATTTCTAATTATGTAAAAATAGACATTATTGGTTTTTAGTCAAACCTGTGGTTTGGTTTCTATTGCTGCAAAACGATAAAAAAAGAAAAAACAAAAACTTTAGCATTATAATCTGATTAGAAAGAAAAAAAGGAAACACATTACCTTTTGAGAAAGACTATAGTAATAAAACATGCTTCTCTTTTGGTTGAGGCTATATGTGTCCCGAGTTTCCTTGATTAATCATTTCTTCTACACTATAAACTACAAAACACTCCTGCCACCTTTGCCACTTAGCTGTTCAGACCGTACCATGTGAATATTGTATACACAATAGATAATGTCAACAATAAAACATGGGTATAGATTTTCAAGTCTAACATCTTAATAAGAACATTATATTAAGTATAGTTATAAATTGGTTGATTTTTAAGAAAAAAAAACATACTGAAAAATACAATAATAAAAAGAAATAAAAGTAGGATGCTATATTACATAAATCAAGAAAAGTTTGTTTCTATTTTCTGCATTTAACATGATTTTTTTTATTAAAAATAAAATATAAAAGTAAGCTGAAAGAGTAGAATTAACATTTGAAATAATGTGGAATGTCTCAATCATTAAAAGCGATGGTATGGGTATACAAGGAAACTCATCAAAATTGAATGATTTTTATGGGACCATATTTTCAGCAAACGCTAAATTTTTTAATGAAAAATGTATACTCATTTTAGAATATTTATAAACCAATTCAAAGATCGAACCGGTTTTATGTACGTTCATAAAAGTGATAAGCACCGGTTTTATGTACCGAATAATGTCATAGGAAATTGGTAAAAGATGCAAACTTCACAAGATAAAACTTTTTCTATGAAAGAAGTAAGGATTATCCCAGGTAGTTTAGTGAAGCTCCATGTAAAATATTGTACATGGCACCCAAAATAGAAAGATTCATAAGTAAAGAAGCTAGATATAGTAAATATTTTGAAATAAAGACATGTGTTACTTTGTTACCTTTTTACCCTGTTTATGTCATCAATATTTTAAGGCCTTCAGATGGACGGATCTGAGCATCCAACATTAGCCTATTAAATTATTGAATCTCATTAGTCTAATAACAGGATATAAAAAAGAAAGAAAAGACCACAGACCATTACATCCCTCATGTTAAAATATTATATTTAATAAACTAATAAATAACAAATTTAATATAATGAGAGTTTTAATAAGGGAGTATCCAACCACAATCATAGACCATACCATCTTTAAGATGCTACTGGAAATGCCAAGATATCTTATATGATATTTGCATATAAAGGTTTATTCACATGGAGAATAATCAATGTTAAGATAGAGATTTCCATAATATCGAGGTCTTACTTGTTAGTCAACCCAATACTCATCTCCTTTTCTGCCATTCCAAATAGCTGAATCACAAAAGATAACAGTAAGGTAAAATCATCATCCTTTCCATAAAACTAATTACATAGATTTTACTTGAAATGATGGAGTAAAAGCCTAAATCTAAAATAAACACCTAAATTTGTTCATAGCAAATTAATCTATTAACTGTACAAGTAAATTATACAGAGGTCAACACTTAACATGAGAATTCAAATGAAGCATAGGGTAGCGATTCTATTGTTCTTTTGAATAATATGCTAGCCCCAGACATACATTCATCAATATTTACTTTATCTCAGTAGGTTTGGCCCTGGAACTTCAGAAAAAGAAAAACCTATCTGAAACTCATATATATAAAATCAAATTAACATAATCCTACACAATTTAAGATGATTTCCACAGAGGGTAGCGATTTTATTTTTATTTTGAATAACATAATCAATCAAACAAATAAAAAAAAGCATATAAGAACCTAAAAATTGAATATTTTTACATATTTAGGATATTTCACTCTTTGTCATCAATGTTTTAGCACCGCCATTTGTTTGTCACTCCTAAAACACAAAAAAGTTTCATTTTTTTTTATAGAAGATGTATTTTAGAATATAAGCTTTTACCTTCAATGAATAGAGGGAAGAGGAATAAAAACATTTTCTTGAAAAACTTCATATTCAAAACCACTTTGCCTAATATCAGTGAGATTCCTCCCAAATACATATCATACCTTGATTGAACATACCAGACTGTGAAGAATCGTGGATATCCTACCTTGATTGGACAATATCATTATTCCGTTCTGGGCATGAAACTCATATTAGACACAACAAAAATAAAAAAAGGAACAATCTAGAGAGAGATTGTGCATACCAATCCAGAATAATTCTTCCTCTCTACGTCAACGTAACTGTCATCCGAGCCCCTGCAATCTTCTTCTTGTTTCACTCTGTTCTTGGTGTCTAATATCATCAAG